ATGAAAATTATTCATTCTGGATCAATAATATACTTAAGTTTATTTTTTTAAATCATCGATAAAAGTTATAAATAATATAAATTTTAAAAAATTATATTTAAGCATTTAAATTAATAGTACCAAAGATATAATAAACAATGTAATCATTTAAAAAATATTTGTGAAAATGTTTAATATAAATTTTCAATTAAATTTATATTAAATATTTTGGTCATTATATAAGTTAAGAAATAAACATTATATAAATAGCAGTTTTTATTTATCGATATAATATTTTATATATAAATATTTTTTTTGATGCAATCAAAATATTCCATATAACATTTGTATTAATTAATTTTCTAGATTCATTTCAATAGTTTTGTGAAGTTCTAATATTCTTTGAATAATATATTATACGATTTTAACGAGTTTATTTATTACTTATTATGAAGAATTGTAATCTAAAATGCATATAAAATTTAATAAAACTCGAGGACCAAGTCATTGCAAATATCGAATAACCATCCGAATTATTGACATATAACAAAAAACCCAATTTAACAATTAAACATGTTTTATTTTTAATTTAATTTAATAAGTTATTTAATTAAATCAAATAAACACACATTTAATAATTTTTTTTAATTTATTGATTAATAAAAAATAGTGCATAAAAACATTTTTCAGATTAATTTTTACAGATAATACTACTGTTATGTTATAATTAATTGTAATTCATATTATAGTTTTGTATTCCAAAGTAATGTGAAACAAAATATTAATATTTAAAATTAAAACTTTTTTTTTTAATTAATTATTAAAACTATATTAAAAAACTTACAAAATCAGATCTAAATGAATCATAAAAAATTTAGCAATATTATGATTAAAAACAAAAAAATTCTTTATGAGTTATTATTTTGAAATTCAAAATTAATCATAGTTACAGATTTGTGAAAATGTAATAACAGAATATACTGATACAATTGATACATACTTTAAAACGAAGATCGAATAATAAATACAAATAGTTATCTATCAATGTACAAAATGAATAAACATGTATAGAATCTTTATATAAAAATAAGTTACTTTTATTATTTATTTCAATATTTTAATTTAACTAAAAGATTAAATTATTTAAATTAAAATTTTATTTACCATAAAAATTCATGAAATATACTACTACTATTACGATTATGTCTACAGTTACTATTATTATTTTTATTTTATTTATATTATATATTATATATAATATACTATTATACTTTTGTTTTATTTTAACGTGCTTAAAATTTTACGATAATTTTAAAAACAAAAACCTAAATTAGTTAGATAAGTAAATGTATTAACTTGACTTGTATAATCAAATAATATATATATGAAACTTGACTACAAATATTTATAGACATTTCAAGAATGCCATTAATCGAATTAACGTGTCATTAAATTGTCAGTAACAATTAACCCATATACAGAATATTACTGATGCAAATGATTTTCAAATTTACAATAAGTTTTACTGATACACTATATAAAGATCAATTACCTTATGACTTAAAAGTAAGTGATGTAAAAAGTTTAAAAATCTTAATCTGAATAATTACTAAAAAATTCGTATAGTAAATCAATTAAAAAAAAAAAATAATACACATATTTGTTATTTTTTAGAGAGAATTAAAGTCAATTGTAAAATGGGTTTCCTTAATGATAAATAAAAGGACATGTAGATTTAATTGGAGTTCCATTTTTTTATAGACTAATGATATTTCAGCCCATAACAGAATTTAAAGTGGTCACTCCATTTTTGAAATGCTATTCGATTACTCTATTTAACAATTGTCGGGTTACATGAAAAAAAATTTTTGCGAGTGTTTAAATGCATGCAAGACAAGAATAAATAAAATTATAATTGTAATTATATATAGGAAATTATATCAATTTCGCACAGTTTCATGTTTAATCATTTACATGAATAGAAATCTATAGAGTAATATAATTAAAATATCTTTTAAAACACTGAAATAAACTGTTAGGATTTATATATAGAAAGTGGATTATATATAATAATTTAAATACGTATAGCGAATGAATCTACAGAAATACAAATAGTTGAAGGTCTATATATTGAAGCATTTTACCATCCCAGAAAGATGCGAATGATGAAATATATATTTTTTATACTGTACACAATATGTTACTTAATTTATAAGTCTACTATAAGATAATATAAACATCAAATAAAATAAATAATTTGTTTACACTTCAGATTTTAATCATTATAGAAATTTTTATAAAAAATGAAAATATTTTGAATAAGTTACATCCTACAAAATATTTTTTTTCACCATAGAAAGCAATTTAAATTTGTTATAAACTTTAATCTTATATCAAAATATTTCTTAATACATAATTTGATAGGAGTTTTTCCAATCGTGATCTTAAAGCAAAATTAATAAATTGACATGTCTAAAATTTAAACTAATAATTTAATATATAGAAAAATAAATTGATGGAAGTTGCTTCTGCGCCCGTGTGTGTATATTTATCAATATGTGAATTTCATTTTTATTTGTAAAAATTATATATAACACTTCAATTTATATTCATCTTTTATAAATTTATTATGAAAAAAATTTCTGAAATTAAGATTTATATTCAGGCCTAGGACCTACAATGATATGTTAAATTGAATTTTTTCCAAGAGTAATAGACATTTGCACTTCTATGCTACCTGTGCTTAAGAAAAAAAAATATTGATTTAAAATTTTTAAATTAGTATATCAAGTTATTTTGAATTAATGGTAATTGTCTATAAAGATACTCACTTCGTACTCAAATGGAAAAATAATGATTATATTGATGATTATCTTCAGTTGTATTATGCTCCACATTATATTATATCGCATACTAAACACAAGTTTATAAAACTTCATATATACAAGTAACAAAAAAGAACAACCATACAATTAAGATTTTTTCCGAGAAAATAATTAATCACTATTCTGGATGTACAGTTTAATATACGGAGTAAAAAATGTTTCTTCAGAATTGTTATTATACATAATTCAATGTAAATAAAAATTCAAATTAAAAAAAATTTAATTATTTTTTTTTAAGTTTCAATACAAATTTATTTTCTCTTAAATAATATTTTAATTCTAAAAATATGTTTGGTGAGGATAAGATTATTATTATTTAATAAAAAACTTCGAAATAATTAAAGTTTTGGTATAGAAACTTTTTTGTAATATTATTTAACAAATTTCAATTATATAAAAAACTGGATGTGTATTTATAAATCAACTAATAATATTATATAAAATTTCTGAATAATAATTTTAAAATTATTAAAATTTACAAAAATTAATGCTATGTAGTTTCTTATATAATAAAAAAAATTAAAGTAAAAGTAAGTTTTAAGATAGGCTAATAAAATATTGGTTGTGAATTGCTTTACGATTATAATAGATAAAAGTAATGTATTTAAAAATACCAAATAAATTATATGCATTTCGATTTAATAATACAAAATTTATACTTTTTTAGTAGATAAAATAGTTTATTCTTTAATATTTCAAATATGAAATTCATCGTATGGAATAAATATTATATATTTGAATTAAAATTATACACAATGTTTTCTTTTTTGCATTGGAAATTAAATTTAATTTAATGTTCATCATTAAATGATATCAATAAAAAGTATGAAATAATATTAAATAACTGTATATTACTGATGTTATAAATAGTTAATTCTATACTTAAATAATTTCTTTGAATTTGGCATAAATTTATTTTAAAATCTAGCAGATGATGTACTTCACATATTGATATATTAATATAAATATCAGTCATTTATATTTAAATACAGCAAATAGTAAAAATGACCAATAAAAAAATATTTATAGCAACTATTTAATTTAGATTTAGATCTACTTTAGTCTTGTTTTAATTCCTAATGATAGTCCTACTGTATGAATATTTTAAAGAATAATAAGTTATTAAAAATTTAAATAATACTAATATAAAGTAGGTATTTATGGTCATTTTATATAAACCTATTATATCGTAATTATTAGTTGAAAAAGTCAATTTAGCTAATAGTAATCTTTTTTTTCATTTTAAATATGTAACTATATTAGAAATATTAAACAAAATGCCACATTGATAAAATTTCTTAATATAAGCATATTTTATAAAATGTTCTATAATTTAACAAGTTATTTTATATTATGTTACTTAAATAGTAATAGGTAAAAATTAGTTATGAATATCAAGCAATTTCAATTGCTATTATTATATCTATAAACTATATTTATTTAAAATAATTTGTAATCTCGCAATTTCATTTTATAAAATTGATGAAATCTATTTAGTTATTAAATGTTATAGCAATATACAAATATACTATACTTTCAATTTTAATTACCATGAAAATGAAATTAATTGAATTTCTTTAGTTTTTAATATATATTAATATAGTTAATATTCCTGATCTATACTTTTTTTAATAAATCATTTTCAAATAAAATTACTTTTAATTAGTAATTCTTTTTGAAATTGATAAAATTCTATGCTCTTTTAAAAATTATGCATAAGTTTTTTATTAATCCGAGCAAAGAAAGAATTGATAATATCACAGTAATTAAATCCTTTTGTTAATAAATTTGTAACAGTTTTATTAATTAAAACGTAATTAAAATGAAGTGTACCTAAATCATAAATATTGCACTACCAAACTAACATGAATACAAAATCACTGCAAAACTGTCTCACCTGCTATATTAACTTACATTCAAATGATTATTATAATTCATTTCTCTTGAACGACGATGATGACAACGATGATCTGTGAATAACAACTCTGTAGAATTATTATATTATATACATGATGTTCAGCATATTAACATGATTAATTATGAAATAAAAAATTTGATTACATAAATTGAATCAGAAAATACAACTTAACTGAAAATCATGTATTAACAGACAAAATAAAACACAAAACGTCCACATTATTATAGTCAAATATGGATTTGAATTTTATTCAATGGCTATCTTCAAATTGATTATACAAGAATGTTATACAGTATGTAAGAAGTTTCCATGGATCTATGTAGCGAGAGGAAATGTTTTTACAAGAATACAGAATTATCTGTAAATACCGACTTCTCTTAATCGTTAATAGTTTAAAGTGACGAACTTATGCATTGGTTCAAAAATAAAATATCTGTAATACATACCAGAATGTACTCACGGATATGATATATGTAGACTATAGTAAGGCGTTTATCAAATCATACAGATATCAAAACAATGACATGAATAACCAATTGGAACCATTATAAAAAATGTATAATTTATCTGTATTATTAAATTAATCCTCTATCATTGAATAAAATACGCAACAAAAATGAAACCCGATGTACAAAAACCTTTTGGATCAACCAACGCGCCTACAATACAGCTTAGAAATTTAAAAATAAATTCCCGATGTCCTGACGATGAAGTTTCTTTTAAACAATATTTTCGACAAAATATTTAATACATAGAATAATGATTTTGTATTCTTTAGAATACTACATTGGATATAAATCTATTTTTTCTTTATATTAAACGTTATACCAAGAAATCAGCATAAATATATGTTGAATGAATAACGACACAAGAAATTTTGCATTGCAAGAAATATTGTTGCCGGTAAAACAGTTTACAAAGCAGATTTTCATACTTACTTTCTATGTATAACAAGCTATGTGGATTATAATACAACTATTACAAACCTATTTCTAAAACTAATGACACTAATTGCTGTCATACCATCAGGAATCGAACGGAATGGGACGGGCTGTGAACATAACGACCAATATTTATATTATTACTTCAATAATTTAAAATTACTTAAAAATTGACAATTAAATGGACTCAAAAGAAAAATATTGTTTTCGTTAAAGATTTTCAACACAAATTTCTTCTTTGTTTCAACTGATTCGACCCATCCCGTATGATTTTTACGACGAAAAAGAAACTATTTTCTGCCATTAGGAAAAAATTTCAAAATCAAACACAACATGATCCATCAATTTCAATAAGTTTTTAGCAATGAATTTCCCCACCTCTTCCTCAATAAAAAAATAAAATAAAGTCGGTTGTTGACGCAAACGATGTTGAACAAATGAAATGACTGTACTGCACAACCATCACCTCTCACAACTGGATTGAAACGTATTAAAAATTTCATATCAGGATCAGTGAATAATGCTGCGAAACATAAATTCATTACGTTCACAAGAACAAATATAACTTTACATATACTTGATAGAAAATTATATATTATGCTTTACCTTGATTGGGATAATTTTACCATTTAATACAGACGCACTTCGATTGTCCTACCATCAATACGTGACCGATTCATCATAGCTATAATATACATATTAAGGAAAATAAAAATAGGAACAAACTTAGATTTAACTATACATGAAAAAAAATTTATCATTTATACACACACAAGCGCGCGCGCGTACACTAATACACACACACACACACACACACATATATACACATGTGTATAGTTTTAAATTAGTTGATATTGAACTTTAGAAACAAATTTAAAAAATAGATATTGCATACATATTTATCTACTTTAATTTTATGTCCTAATTATAAAAAAGAACTACTTATTAAAAATATCCAAGTATACGAGCTCCAAATATTTTAATGCCTTCTTTTATAAAATAAATTCAATTAGATGTCAAATCAAAGGATTTATAATATATAAATAGATAATATTTCAAAGGATACACACAGCACGTTCTGCATCCCACTCTGATGCAAATCGTACCATACCCACATCTGTTCCTCTCATTTCTGCAAATTTGACCTCACCTATATCTTGACATTTATCTCTCAACATTTGCCAGGTTGTATTTGGAGGTAACTGGAAGTAATAAATTTTGAAGTAAAAGGAAGTTTTATTAAAATGTTTGAAATGTTCTTAGAAAAATTATTTACATTTCCAATAACAATTGTGTCAGATATTTGTCGAGACCCATTACTATTTTGTCTATTTCCACCTACTTGACCAGCGTTGGTAGAAAATGCTGCTCCACCAACGGAAACACGATCAGTATCTCCTCTATTAAAACCACCATCAAAATCTCTGCTATTTCCAAAAGCCGAATTTCCAAAGGTATTGTTAGCACCAAAACCAACATCGTTATCCAATTTGGATAAACCTCTTGGTGCGAAACTATTATTTGATTGGGCGTTTGCAAGTGATGCTTGAAGATTTGCTAAACTAGCAGCTCCCTGACCAAAATTATTCAAATTGGATGCCAATTCATTTGTCAAAGAACTATTCAATAAAGAAGTTGTTGCCAGATTAGCTCCTAATCCACTAGCTAAACTGGCTTGTAGAGCAGCTGCATTACTATTTGTAAGTGCTGTAGCTAATGATAAAACATAATTAAAAATATTTTGTTAATTTGTATCATTTTTAAATTTAAGATCCAGGTACCAAAACAAAAATCATTGATTTTATGTTTTATTTTTAAATAAAATTATATACTTTCATTATGTACTTAATCAATTATTTAATTTTCAATCAAATTCAAACAAATAAAATCCTTTTAAGATTTGAGTAATATAAAAAAAATGTTAAATATAACTTTTCTTGTACTACAGTTCTTAAAACTGTTTTTTCTTATCGAAAATGAAATACATACTGTACTACTAAAAAAATCATATTATTATTGCTTATTAAATAAGTGCTTCACTATTTAAGCATATGTATTTTCATTATAATACATATTTCATTATAATATATTCATATATACATTCATTATAATTATCTTTTCAATTTTTATTTGTTGATTATAAATGAAGATAATTTATTATTTTATTAATTTGTTTGGAATTAAAATACTAGTCATTTTAAATTAAATATTATATTTAATGGCAAAACGTTTGAAATAAAATTATATTGAATTCGTATTTTGAACTTTAAATTTCATAAAAAAAAATTGTAAAAAATTAAATTACCTAATTGTGCAGGAACAACATTATTCAATCCAGCTCCGAATGCTCCAGTAGCTAATACAGGTGCTGAAATCGGATTAACTACTGGTGGATTATTAGGTTGAACATTTGGAATATTTCTAGCAACATCTGTCAATCTGTTTCCACCTGCTCCTAGGCCCATTCCAATCCCCTTTAAACCTATCAAATAAAAATTATAAGATAAATTTTAGAAGCATTAATGTTCAAATTCCATTATATAAAAATATTAACCTTCAGGTAATTTAGGTGGCATATCTGGTTCATTAGCACGATCTAATCGAACTGTCATGCGTCTATCATAAAGTTGTTGATTATGTAACATTGAAATAGCTTGCACAGATTCAACTGGATGATCATATTCGACAACACCAAAACCACGTGATTTTCCATCTTTATCTTTGCCTAGCTCAACATGCAAAACTTTTCCAGCTAATTTAAATACTTCCAGTAATTTTTTTTCATCAACTTTATAGTCAAGCTGTATGAACAAACATAATTAAAATATTTAAGTAAATTACAAATTTTATTATATAGTCAAACTAATTTCCTTACATTAGCTACAAAAACTCTAGTAACTAAAGGTCCACTAATACCAAGGGATTCTAAAAACTGAGTGCTTAATCCATATGTATTTCCAAATTTATTATCAGCATTTCCACCATTACCACTGCCACCACCTCCACCGCTAGGAATTGGCATATTTTGCCTGCCTGGATTAGGTCTTGATTGATCTCGAAATCTGTCTTCTCGAATTCTATCATTATTACGTCCTGTAGTTAAGCGTCCATATTTGTCGCGCTCAACATCATAATCCTATTAAAGTAAAATTATTTTTGAAAGCTTATGAATTGTATTACATAAATATTTCATGAATGTTTAAAATACCTCTTTGACTACAAGCTTTCTTCCTTTAATATCAAACCTGTGCATTTTCTCTACAGCTATTTTCACGGAATCAGAATCTTCAAATTCAACAATACCACAACCTCTAGGCTTATCATTTTCATCTGTAAAAAGTTCAACGTGAGCTACTTTCCCAACTTCAGTTCTAAAAAGATCTTTTAAATCTTGCCAACGGAAATCATAAGGTATATTTGATACGTAAATTCGTCGATCAGCAACTTTTCTGCCACGATCGTTTCTTTCACGACTGCGATCTCGACTATTAGAATTTATACGATTTGGCCGATCTGATCTACGATTTCTGTCACGCTCTCTACTTCTATCTCTATCTTCACTATTAGACATTGTATTTCTAAAATGTAAATAAGAATTAGTATTTTTCAATAAAATAATACAAAAGCTAAATATTTTAAGGAATATTACAATAAACTTTTTAATAATTTCTTATCATTATTTCTTCAAGCAATACTCGGGTTATTTTCGGCTATACTTACTCTTCTGTTTTCATATCTTGATTTTTCTCTGTACAGGTTCTTCGACAATTCTTGATATTTTGTTTTTCAAGTATATAGCTTCAGATTAAAATTACAATAAATATTTTTATCTTCAATGACTTATTAATAATTACGATTTAAATAGAACAGATACTCCAATCAATTACAACCAAACGAAGCCGAAAGCGTCCTCAAAATGGCTGAAAGGCCGGTTTAGAGCAATTACTAAATCGTTGCCTTTGCTCTTCATTAACGAACAAGCCAGACATAAAATTAAAAGGTTTGAAGTTTCAAATAGAGTAGAGTAAGAATATTTTATCGCATGCGCAGTAAGCTCTACTGAGTTAATTGACTGGCAAAATCACTTTCAAAGGCGATTAATTAAAGATACAGAAAGTTTAAAACTTATATAGTATACCCCTTTGAATCATGCGCAGGTGAATTCTGTTTATTGGTTTAATAAAAGGTGCAATTTATATAGATCTCCAAAGGGATAACAAAATGATAGTAAATTACTTATAATTTATAAACATTAGTTAATATATTATTTTAAATTTTCATACATTTCTCTATTAAATTAAATCAAAATTAATATTGAATATGTATATATTTCGTGTATTCATTCTTATACTATTTATTTATATTATTTATAAGCGTCAAGAACAATAATATTTATATTTATCGTTCAATAAATTTTTAACACAATGTCTCAATTTTTAATTAATTTTCAAAAAATAAACTCCTGAAATTGAAATATGTATAATCAATAATTTTTTACTATCTATATATATTTCGATTTTAGATAATAAGCTTAGATTTTATAACACGTATCCTTTAAAAAATGTACTATTAACTTCAAATTTATTCTACATTTTTCATCTGTTATGTTTATAGCATGCCAAACTTCTGGGTTAAGTACAGGATTGATATTTTAGGATAATATATAAAACAAGTATATTAATTGATTATTATTTTTTTGTAAATTTTGTATTCTGTTTATTTAAATATACATATTTTATATAAAAATAAAAATTCTATAAAATTTTTTTAAATTAACAGAATGGCATGGATATTGAATATAATCAAATGTAATTTTATTTATGTACATATGCTTTTACAATAAATCAGAAATTTAGACGTTTATAGTATAATACAATTAGTTAAATACAATTTTTATTAATACTGAGCTGGGTAGTAATGGTGTAAGACTGGTAATGATCACATAGAAAACTTTACAAATAGCGTCATTAATTGAAAACCGATGCTTTTTTTACCGATTTTAGTGTACATAAATTTTTTTTCAATGTGTTCAGATTGAAATCCGTGCTTTAAATCATTGTTATAGATCCATTTATACTTTTCCCACTCTTTGTAAATAAATAACTAACAGTATTTTTAAAGCTATTTTTATTCTTTTACTTTAGGAAAAAATTATGTTAATAACCTCACTTTCAGGAGAATCTTTGTCGTTGATAGCTTTTTATCAGTTAATTTAAAATATCAAACAAGATAAATAGAGACATTATCCTGGGTTTGTTGAAAATTTCTGACTAAACTTATTCTTAGTAGTGGTAATATATCCTAGTTACACTAGTTATATGTTGTTCACCTTTTTGATAAATAACAACCAAAATTATTATTTATTTTTCAATACAAAAGAAAGTCTATTCAAGAATAAACCATATTATATATGAAAGCTAACTTATGAAGACTATTTGTTCTGGTTCTTAATGATTTTGTTGATTCCCTCGATTATTTCTATCATTCGTAATGAAAACTTTTTAGACTTAATATCAAAATGAAGAATTGGTTGAACGTAGTAGAGTTTATGATAAACACCGAATTCTCAACACGCTGAAAGCTTTTCACTATCATCAGCCCAGTCCCTCATAATGTACTTATGAAAGAGCTCGTATAAGGAGATCTCATCATAGTAATTCTGACACGAAGTATTAATTCCATTCTATGTTAAAGTTAGGGCAAGATCGGCGATGATCTTCTACAAATAAATCTTGTTTACTTTATTTATTATCTTTATTCATTCTAAGGATTAGGTATATAAAATCTCCTCGAACAAACTCTTAATTCTTCTCCTTATTGTATCAATTTCTAAAGAATATAACATTGTATATGGTCAAGATTAAAGAAAGAGATTACAATATGCATTAATCAATGATTTGGCATTCCAAATGTATAGAGTCTTATTAGTAGTTACTTTTTAAATTAGTGATAAGCAGGGTTTTTACATAAAACAATCGTGCACATTGATTATAGTATTGAAAAAATATCATTACATATATGATAGATAAGTGAAAAGAATAATTGACATAATTTAATAAAACGATTCAGAAAAAGCGCATCGATACAGTACATATTTATTTACGTTATCAAATTCTATTAAAACACTCTATATATATTTTGCTAAATGAATTAGGAAACTCTCACTCTGACATTAACTAAAAGCTATTAGAAATATAAGGAATATATAATATGAATAGCATGATCTACCTGATTAATAATATATTCATAACATTCTAATATTAGTTTTAAGTATATTAGTGGACTATACGCTTAGCGCGGTATTACCAATCCTGAATATACTTATTGTTCAGTATTTATAGGAATGAATATATTCTTTGCTTCAATTTTACAATATGCCTTGTATACAGAATACTTTAATTTTCAAAAGTAATACCTTCTATATAATTTATTATTTCGTAAATGTTTAAATCATGGGTCAACAATGTACAAAACATGGGGTTTTTAATAGAATCATCTTTAAGAAATATACGTATTAAATAAAGTCAAGGAGTCTCGTAATATTTTCATATACCATCAAGTTAACATAAGTATAAACGATCAAATATAAGATCATCGCAAAAACGTGACTGCACAAAATGAAGAAGAATTTTTAAAGAGGATTATTAAATTTTTAGAAGTGATTAATTAATTTATAATGAAAGAAACGTGAATGGTATCTTAGATTAAAGTAAAACAAAATTATTAAATATAATTTTGTTTATAAAAATATATTAAAAAAATATATATAAATATATTGTTTTATAAAAATACATTAGAGTACATTATTTATAAATATTTTAAATATTGTACAACTTTTTGCAATAACCCATTTTTAAACTTATACGAAAATATTTGACGCAAAAATTTTCAAATGAAATAAAAGATAAAATAGATTCTTAATTTAAATTTTCTGTGGATAATATTTTACTATATACATTCAATAAAGTAGTTTCTAATGTATACATTAAATTATTATTATTGTTTATGTAAAAAATGTTCTTACCATAATATTGGAGATTAAAATGAAAATAGAAATAAAATTTCTTGACAAGTAACTATTTTCAAACTATTTTTAAAATATTTTACCGCCCTTAATTTTTTATGCATATGTGTAAATATGTATGTATCAAGAAAATAATAAAATATTCAAATTAGAAATTTATCAAATTCAATTAATTAGTTTAATAAATTAATGAAACAAATTTTTAAAAAATTGAAACAAAACTAAACGAAAATTCAAAAATATCAGAATCGAATAGATGAATTGCATTATAGTCTATAGGGAGCATCAAGAACAACATTGAAGGCTAAAAAAATGAATATTTGTATCCTTTCTTTTGTTCGATATCACAAAATTCTCTAGATATGTAAAAGTTAAATAAGAAAAGCTACCAAAATTATGTATTCTGAAAAGTTAGTAAATTGTAAAATTTACTTTAACTCAAAGGTTACATTGTAAGAAATTAGAAATACAAAAATATAATAAATGAAAAATCCTTAGTTTTGTGTGTTTTAAAATATATTTTAAAAAATATTAATTTTGTTAATTTTCTTAGTTTTTTTTAGTCGAAATATCTACTATATATATATCCAACATATTGATATATATCCAACACGCAATCATTAATAAACGTATAACTTTGTATCATGTGATACTAGTTCCAGATATTGAAGTATTATAAAATTTTCTACATTGATGTTTGCTTGATTTTATAAAGTTATACAAATAATAGAAAATAAAAATTTTTTTTATAAATGTAATTGCCTTTTATGAAATATATATACAAATAATTACTTTTATACATTAATTATATTCCTATTATTAATTATATCTTAATAATATATGTATATATATATATATATATATATATATATATATATAGTTATTATTATATATTGTATATATACATATACAATAACTACACAGTTATTCAATCATTTTGATTTGGAAATATTAAATAATTTATCTTGAATTTAATGTTAAATGATAATAGATATAATATAATCTTATTTATCTTTGGTAAAATTGTTAAATTTTTGAAAATAATTTTTTTTAAAAAAGTAGTGAAATAATTTTAATAAAATTATAATTAACATTTTTATAACCTTAAAATTAATCATAAAAATATAATCATTAATTTCTATAAATATCAGAAAAGTATTGATAACTGATAAAAAGAATATTAAATTGTATATAGTATGTACAAGTAACAAATAAAAAAATTCATCGGATACAACAATTTAATGATAAATTACATATAATATTTTAAGTAAAATACAGGGAAAAACATTCAAATAAATAAAATTAGAAATAAAATCTAGTATGTGTGAAAGATGATTAAAGTTTGTTAAAAAAAAAGATATTAACAAGATATGAAATATGAAATACCTTGAATACAAAAAAATACTTAAAACTACTCATAAATATTAAAAATCTAAAGGAAAAGGGCAAAGAAAACTAAAAGTAAGTACTTAAAAATAAATCGGCTATTTTTATTAAATTAGAAATATGAAAAAAATTATGCATTTTTATTTTAAAATTACAGTATATCTTTTTAAAATAAAAATTAATTATGATATGCGCATTTCTTTTGTTTATAAATTAAAATGATTTTTTCCTTACTTTTAATTTAACTTCATTATTTTCGTAGTCAATTTTGTTTTTAATATAAAATTTGATTATTTTTGTATAGGCGCATGTATTCTTCTCATTTTAATTTGATATTTATTAGCTGCTAGATTATGGACATCAGCTTTCTAAAACTCTATAAAAGTCAATATATTAACAGTATTAATTCTATCTATATTTTCATCTACCTTGCTTCGTATCATGCATCGTAAGTTAATTGTAACACGAGTTAATATTCTCTTTCTTTTCCTCCCACTCTTTCTCACTCACGTACACTCATACACTTATTCAATCTCATTTTTACATTTGAACTTTCTGCTTTAACGAAAGTTTTGGCTTTATGAATTTCTATTATAGTTTTAAAAAAATATACGCTTCTATAATAATTTTTTTTCCAATCTATCATTTCCATTTATGTTGTATTTGTTAAAAATTACCAACCATAAAAAGGGAATTTAATAAAAATAATATAAAAGAATGGCGGCTCTATGGATACGAAAGATTGTAAGTTTCGTTAAAAATTATATTTTTATATATATATAAAGCTATCAAAATTATTAATTTTAGAACTCACAATTTAAGAAACATTCGTATTGTTTATTAGAACTTAAATTTCCTAATCTAGCTCATTTATTTCAAATTGTATTTTTATTTTTCAAGCCTTAATTTCTTGCAATTTCTCTTATTTTAAATTTTAGTATTTTTCTTAATTATTTTTAATTTTGATGTATTCATATATGTACTCAATAGCACTAAAAATAAAATAATTTAATTTATATTTTTACATTATAGATACCATTAAAAGTTGCAGATGTCAGGTTTTGTAGTAGCAATCTTCATAAATGTACTTTAATCCCTGGGGATGGTATTGGTCCTGAAATTTCTGTAGCTGTACAAAAAATTTTTGAAGCGGCTAAAGTAAGATTTTTGTCTAGAAGCTCTTGTTATATAAAGTATAAATGATATTATAAATGTAATATAATATATATTTAATTTTATTTTATAAAAATCTATTTTGATTTATAAATACTGAAATTAAGAAATACTGTATATATCTAATTTTGTTACATTGATAAAATTTTATTATGTAAATATATTGTATTATAGGTACCTATAGATTGGGAATCAGTAGATGTTACACCTGTTAAAGGGTCAGATGGTAAATTTGGTATACCTCAAGCAGCCATTGACTCAATTAACAAAAACAAAATTGGTTTAAAAGGACCACTTATGACTCCAATTGGAAAAGGGCATAGATCCTTAAATCTGGCATTAAGAAAGTAATAGTACATTTTACAGTAGATTCCTATTGTGTAATGAAAGTTAATATATTGTTTTATCTTTTCCACTAATTAAGGGAATTCAATCTATATGCTAATGTTCGACCATGTCGGTCTTTAGAAGGTTATAAAACTCTTTATGATAATGTTGATGTTATCACAATTAGAGAAAATACTGAGGGAGAATATTCCGGTATTGAACACGAAATTGTTGAAGGAGTTGTACAGTCTATTAAGCTTATTACAGAAGAGGCCTCAAGTAGAGTAGCAGAATTTGCTTTTCAATATGCTAAAGATAATAATAGAAAAAAGGTTTAAAGTTTCTAAGAATTAACAAGAAGATACATATCCTTGTATATAATAGTTATATTTATAATAAAAAAAATTTCTAGGTAACTGCTGTACATAAAGCAAATATAATGAGAATGTCAGATGGTTTATTTTTGAGATGCTGTAGAGAAGCAGCTCAAAAATATCCAAGTGTAAAATTTGAAGAACGATATTTAGACACAGTTTGTTTAAATATGGTGCAAGAACCAAGTCAATATGATGTTCTTGTAATGCCCAATTTATATGGTGATATTTTGTCTGATATGTGTGCTGGTTTAGTAGGAGGTTTGGGACTTACACCAAGTGGAAACATTGGTTTGAAAGGTGCTCTTTTCGAATCTGTAAGTTTATTTTTAAGAAATTGATTTTATTAATAATTTCTTTTTTAAATATTTAATTAATAATCATTTAAAGGTTCATGGTACTGCACCAGATATTGCTGGGCAAGATAGAGCTAATCCTACAGCTTTATTATTATCCGCAGTTATGATGTTAAAATATATGGGTCTAAATGATCATGCCACGATCATTGAAACTTCTGCTTATGACACAATTAAAGAAGCTAAATACTTAACAGGCGATTTAGGTGGTACTGCAAAATGCAGTGAATATACAAGTGAAATATGCAGCAAAATTGTTATGCAAATAAAATAATAAACTTATTTTTATCTAAATTAAAATTGTTAATATGCATAGAAATTTTGGTTTTAATAGATGAGTAAAACCTGCTTATCTGAGGATTTGTTTTTACAGTGTTGAATAATTTGTATGCGAGAGTGTAATTTTAATATTAAAGTAAGTTTAAGTATAAAAAAAGAAAGATATATAATTAGTAAACAAGTACAAATAATAATACAGGATTTTATGAATAAATAAATAATATTTAATTATAAAATAATTTAATGAGAGTTCATAAATTATAAATTTATTTAATATTTTATAGAATATGTATTCTATAACAATATATGATTCTGAATATAAATAAAAATTATGAGAAATATTTTTACAAATAAATTATTTAATATAGATAAACATTATGTACATACACATAAATAAATGTTGTCTAATATAAATTGCAAATTTTATTAAAGAAAATTAATACATTAAAAACTTAAAAATTAATAATCAAACAATATAAAATAAATTCATAAAATACAAAAAACGATATAAATTATAAAAAATTTTTAATGTTATAATTTTTAAGTAAATTTTTTCTTTTTTGTAGAACTGTAACATCCAAAAGAAAAACCAGTAGCATATTATTTTCATTATAATCATCAAAATAATATAAAAAAATTAAAAAATATGTATTAATATGTAGCGAAATATAATTTTAATGAATGTAAATATAAAGGATGAATAAAACAATTATCGCTTTAATTTTATTAAGATCTAATTTATATCTGTGAATAAATAACCTAATGGTGAGCAATAATAAAACATTTCAAGCAATTAATATATTTATAAATTACTATTTGGTATGGAAACGTTTTATAAATTAAGCAAAATAATTTTTCAAATCGCCTTTATACAAAACGCGATTAAAGTTTGGATGCTTGCTGTTAAATATAAAATATATTTAACATATGTACTACCTTAGGTAGGAAGGATAAACCAGTAAAGTATACCCTCAATTTGCATTTTTACCTATAAAACATTTTTTGTCGGTAATAGAGTATTCTAAAATTTCCATTCTTTCTACTTCCATCTTATTCTTAAAATATTTTGTTTCTGAGTATACCTGTAAGCGTTGCAAATTTAATTTTGTTCGAAATATTGTAGGGATGTAATTCTTGGCTCGAACTGCCAATGTTTCAATAGCTTAGTTTGCCGCCCGCCGTAGCAGACGCTCGGGAAGGGGTGAGATGTAGGGGCTGTACAAGAGTCGTGAGAGTTGGTTAATTATATTTATTATACAATTTATTACACTATTTACATATGGATGTTGTAGAATCTTCTTGTATCTTATATGAAGATATGATTTCTTGATCGGCTTCTTATACAGGAGGTGTCACTACACAAGATGCCTTCAAATCATTTAATTAATGTAAATTGCACAGGTAAATAATTGCTGCATACTTCTGAGTGGAGAGTGTGAGATAATCTTGATGATTGTCTTATGGCCGGTTCTGTTGCCGGCTGACAATAATTGAAGAGAAAATATGTATCAACGTTCTTACAGTGATATCGTAATTCAATCTGATTCAGCGGTGAGAGGGACACGAATCATGTGCGGCGTGACTCCTTTACTCACCAGCATGAACTATTCTTGTGGCGAATTACTAGCACTTATTTCTGTATTGAGTGAATTGTTAGGCTTGGCTTTCTTGGATAATTAATTTCTATAACTTGACCTTTCCCCAGACTGCTCACTCTTATTCTAAATGATTTGTCGCCCTTTGAAGAAGAAAGATACTTGGTTGCCCACGCGGACAGCCCTTTGGCTGCCCACGCAGACTCTATGCCAATAATCCCCCGCGAACTGCCTTTTCTTCACTTGCGCCAGCACGAATTTCAACCGAAATCTCCGACAATCAATCTAAAAGGCATACGTGCGAGATTAAAAGAATCTATTGCAACCAGGGTAGCAATTGAACAGTGAAGCCATTGGGATCGTAATCAATAAAGTGCGCCAAACACGCCTCCACACCGGCGGGCTAGTACGGTAGTTCATAAGGTTCTGTATTAATTGTACAAAATTAGTCACTCTGGCTCGAATCTGCTCAAGCTGCGCGCAACACAACCCACGCAATACAGTCTTAAAGGCCACACAGGGTTCAGAACGTAAAAACTACTTTCTACAAGTATTTACGTTGTCGAGACTCGAGTTCAACCATTCAAGATCGGTGATAAGTTCCTTCCGTCCGGGAAGTGACTAATTCTGATTCATGCGTGTGACTAACACTCAAAAATTCCCATTCTCCGTTTGAGTACGGTCGAATTAAATAACAATTACCTCTTAAAAACTTTATCTTGTATAAAAACGTGTTTGCATTCTCTACGAATTTTTATTGATTACTATTACCACTACCATTACTATCTTCCCATGCTCATGAAGAGCATGGTCGACTAACTCATGATGATCCCTACAACATCAGCATTGAAGATCCACACAACCTCCGTAGCATCAACAACAACCAAGAACAGAAGAAAGCACTCGCACCACTACAATAGAATAATTCGCCATCTCAATAGAAGCAACCAACAACGCTACAATATTATTATAAGTCATAACCAGAATAAACAATAATTGAACTAAAAATACATTACATTATACTTTTCAGCCCTTCCACTTGTGCCTTCTTTCTTCTTAATCGCTATGGCGAGAGATTAATCCGCTGAACTATTAAATTGCCAGTTCGAACCATAAAACCAACATTAAATTTCGAACACACACAAATGTTTCATAAAATATTTGCTTCTCTTAGCGTAGCATACTGATGCTATTCCATGGAAAGTGAGTAATTATAAAACTCTTACCACTTTTTCGAGAAGGGCACGTGTTGTTTCTGTTATGAACACAAATGGCGCGAAGATTGGCCTCGTGAGCGTAGGACTCGAGCTCGCAAAGAGGTTAGGTCGACAAGGTGGGCGCAGAATGGCGCGAAGGCTTGTCGACACGTGGTACGTGCGTATGGGCCATGTGCATCTCCTTAAGTACAGAAAGTAGAATTAATTAAGATAATTTTGTGTGTACCTGTGAGATAAAAACCTTCAATCTAAGATGATGGCAATGACGCCTAAAGTAGCTGATACTACAAACGACTACTAATCTTGGACTCAGTTGAGGGACTTGCCACTTCCTTCTTCAATGAGGATTTCAACTGGTACTTGTCTTCGGACTTCGATAAGGGATTTTTTCCACTTCTTTTTCTTTGAGGCTTCAACGAAAGTTTATCTTCGGACTTAGTTGAGGGACTTGTCACTTCCTATTTCAATAAGGACTTTATCGAGAGTTTGTCTTAGAACTTCATTGAGGGACTTGCAACTTCCTATTTGAATAAGGGACTTCACCGAGTGTGATTCCCTGTGATGACTTCACAAGCTTGTGATTGTCTCTTAAATACATTTGTTTGAGAATGCGAGAAAGTAAAATGCAATAAAACATCTGGCAAGCGATATCGTAAAATTCACACTAGCATTCAAACCCTTTCGCTCACAATTATTTGTACTAGTGTCATAAAACATCTGG